GCTCCCCACTTCAAGCTTTCAGCGTTGATGTCACCTGTTTCAGTTGAGGACAGAGATTATATGTCGAAGGTCCCATATGCTAGTGCAGTAGGTAGCTTGATGTATGCGATGGTGTGTACGAGGCCAGATTTGTCACAGGCCGTGAGCATGGTATCGAGATACATGCATGACCCCGGGAAGGGTCACTGGGAGGCCGTGAAGTGGATTCTACGGTATGTTCGAGGCACCGTGGATGTTGGTTTAGTATTTCAGAAGGATGAGAAGGATGGGCAGGCTTGTATTGGATATGTGGATTCAGACTATGCTGGAGATCTTGACAAACGCCGGTCTACGTCAGGTTATGCTTTTACATTGGCAGGTGCACCTGTATGTTGGCGTTGCACGCTTCAGTCCACAGTGGCTCTCTCTACTACAGAGGCAGAGTATATGGCAGTTACTGAAGCTATTAAGGAGGCTTTATGGTTGCGTGGATTATTGGAGGACTTGGGGATTGCACAGGAGACTATTCGGATATATTGTGATAGTATGTCGGCTATCTATTTGGCGAAGAACCAGGTTTATCATGCGCGCACGAAGCACATCGACGTCAGATTCCACTTTGTACGGGACGTCTTGGATGATGGAGATGTCATATTGGAGAAAGTCCACACAAATGACAACCCTGCAGATATGTTGACCAAAGTTGTTTCAGGAGTGAAATTTGGTCATTGTTTGAAGCTTTTGAACATCCTTCAGTGCTGAGGCCTTTGGAGGCCATTAGTATGAACTACGTTCGGCTTGATTCCTTGGGCAAGAGGATACGTAGGCAGTCTTTAGATGCAGCCGGTTTGATCAGTTGATCAAGATGGGCCCCCCCCCTCCTTGCCCCGTGGACGTAGGCAACTTGCCGAACCACGTAAATTCTTGTTCTTGCTGTGATTGTGGTTTGCATATTATTTGTGGTTTAGTTCGAGTTATTGTTCGTGTTGCCTAGAAAGCTTCCGCCGCGCACAACAGTTTTTGTTATGTGTTTGTTTTTCTTCTTTTGTTTCAATTCACCATAGTTTAGATTCGGTTATCTTTATTCTTTTGGCTTTATTCTTGTACTCTTTTTTCCTTTTTGGTAGTTTCATTAAACTCTTATTTAACGGAACACGGGGGTTAGTTACCCACCGTTTCACTAAGAAATCATCCGTAAAATTGAGAGTAAAATAGTCAGAAATTTTCATCCGGGGTGTCTATATGCCAAAGCAAATACAGATTATAGAGCTAATAAGTTCAAATACACTATCGTAAAGAGGGTGGCCGGCCCGGCCCGGAAATCCGGGCCCGGGCCGGGCAAAACCGGAGCCCGGACCCGGACCCGGGCCCGACCGGGCCGGGTTCCGGGCCGGCCCGAGTTTTTTCTTTTTTTTTTAAATTTTTTTTTTCTAAATTTTTAAATTTTATTTAAGTTTTAAATTATAAAAAAAGACAAAAAAATAATAGTAAAATAATAATTTTATTAATCACTTAAAATAACATAAATTACAAATAAAAAATTATAAAAATAAATTCTTTATTAATAATTAATAAATCATTTACAAATTACAAGTATAAATTTATTTTGGAATTCATCGCATCACAATAGATAAGTACATCCCACCTAGGTTTTTTTAAATTTCTTTTCTTTTTTTTGATAAAAAAATGCTAAAAATTAGTTTAATATTATTATATTTTATATAATTATGTATTAGTATATACTTCTAAATTATTATGTAACTATATATTATATATACATATATTATATGTAAATATATTGTATATATTTATAAGTTATAACTTGAGAGAGAGAATCGCATAAGTAGTCGTTGCCCGTTGGGCCAATGGGGAAGAAGTAGCCGTTGTAATATACTATACTTTTATATACTTATATACTAAGAGAGAGAGTATACACACACACACACATATTATACATATATAAGAGAGAGTATACTTGTATATACTTATATAAGAGAGAGTATACATATATAAGAGAGAGTATACTTATATATACATATATACTAAGAGAGAGTATATATATACATACATGCCTACATTATACATATATAAGAGAGAATATTCTTTTATATACTTATATAAGAGAAAGTATACTTATATATACTTATACATATATATACTTATATAAGAGAGAGTATACTTATATATACATATATACTAAGAGAGAGTATATATATACATACATGCATACATTATACATATATAAGAGAGAGTATTCTTATATATACTTATATAAGAGAAAGTATACTTATATATACTTATACATATATATACTTATATAAGAGAGAGTATACTTATATATACTTATATACTAAGAGAGAGTATATATATACACACATATGACATATTATACATATATAGAAATATGTTATATATACATATATTATACATATATAAAAATATATTATATATACATATATTATACATATTATATATATTTATATATACATATATAATATAATACATAAAAATAAAAAATAAAAAATAAAAAAAACTACTATTCGTGGACCGGGCGTGGGCGGCCGGGCCGGGCGGGCCACAAAAGAGCCGGCCCGGGCCCGGACGGAGCGGACTTGGCCCGGGTTTCCGGGCCGAGGCCGGGCCGGGCTCGGGCCGAGCCCGGGACGCGGCTGTTTTTGGACAGCCCCGTAGGTCTAGTACAATCAGCTTTTTGTTTCCTTGGTATGATTGTGAGTTCATTGAATTGCTAATGAGTTCATTGAGTTGTTAAAGAAGTTGAGATATTAGTAGGATATTTTATGGTGGAATAACCCTAGTAGGATATTTTATGGTGGAATAACCCAACTCATATCAAACGAACGTAGTTCACAATTACTTCCCAATTTTTTTCATTTGTTAGATGTTCAATCCAATCTTAACAAATATTGATGGAATATTAATAAATAAACTAGAAAAAATTGTGAACAAAAGAACTACCAGATCATTTTCGTTTGATCTAGTCAAACAATTCAATGTACAAAATCAAGCAAGCTCAACTTACTGCTAAGCAAGCTATTTTTAGCTTATCCTTTTTAGCTAGATTTAGATCCTCTCCACTAAAAAAACAAAGTAGTAGAGAGAATACCGCAATATCACAATCTTTGCTTTGATTAGTGGGCGGTTGTGATTCATTTCACATCTAACACTTACCATGCTCTCATGAATTGCATTATTTCCCTAATTTACACTCAAAAACTAATCACAATTGTCTACCAAACAAATCAACGGTTGTGATATTGCATTGATCTCTCCAATAATAATAATAATAATAATAATAATAATAATAATTAAATAATAATTATTATTATTTTCATCCTGGGTGTATATATGCCAAAATGAATACAGATTATAGGGCTAATATAAGTTCAAATACACCATCGTAAAAGGGTTTATGTGCGATCAACATTTTTTTTCCTGGCATGATTGCGAGTTCATTGAATTGTTAAAGAAGTTGAGATATCAATAGGAAATTTCATGGTGGAATAGCCCAAATCATATCAAACGAATGTAGTTCCCAATTACTTTCCCAATTTTTTTCATTTGTTAGATGTTCAATAATCCAATCTTAACAAATATTGATGGAATATTGATAAATAAACCAGAAAAAATTGTGAACAAAAGAACTACTAGATCATTGTCGTTTGGTCTAGTTAAACAATTCACTGTACAAAATCAAATAAGCTCAACTTACTGCTAAGCAAGCTATTTTTAGCTTATCCTTTTTAGCTAGATTTGTATCCTCTTCACTAAAAAAGTAGTGGAGAGAACACTGCAATATCACAACCATTGCTTTAATTAGTGGGCGGTTATGATTCATTTCACATGTAGCACTCACCATGCTCCCATGAATTGCATTATTTTCCTAATTTACACTCAAAAGACAAATCACAACCATCTACCAAACAAATCAATGGTTGTGATATTGCATTGGTCTCTGCACTATTTTTTTTTAATTATAAAGGAGAGCCGTTACTATGGTTTAAGCGCGTTTTGACATCTATCCCCCCCCCCACTCACGTCCCACCCCCACCCACCCCGAACCAAAATAAAAAAGCTACCAATCAAGACGTGTATTGCATACGCTATTTCACATGCCCTGAGTATATATGTATCTAATAAACTCGAGAAATAATTTGCTAGTTTCAACTTATCATATTCATAATCATCTGTAACCGGACCAAGACTGACTCTGAATATTACACCACGGAAAAACTAACAAGCAGACATAAGCGTTAACGACCACTATCATCTCCATATCAAACACGTATCGCCCCTTCCCAAAATTTGGAACGGTGATATGGCATCATCCTTAATTATACCATATGAGTTTCACCATACATACATATATACATTAAAGGCAAATGGTTCCCCCTCACCTTCTTCCATGAGAAAACGCCAGTGCTAGCTAGTCAATTATGACAGGCCTATCGGAGCTTCGACCATATAAATCGCAAGCAAACATTGGCGGAACCTCCCCTCTCAGGATCTGCACTCTAAACTCCAAGTGCTTGCGATCCAACAATTCATAGATACAACCATCTCCAACCTTCAGTTTGTTGTCGAGTGCAAACTCTCTCCATCCTGTGGTTATTCTCTTTAAGAAAAGTTGTCCCGAGTATTTCACCCTCCAGCTTCTATCTCCGCAGGACAAAATCACTTGGACAGAATAATTCGGAAGAAAATGACGAAAACACTTGGGAATCACCTTAATGTCATAAAAAAGAGAGAAAATTTTGCATCAAGTACCTAACGCACGAAAACCCTTGGGAATCACCTTAATGTCATAAAAAAGAGAGAAAATTTTGCATCAAGTACCTAACGCACGAAAACCGAGTGTGATAATGAGACGTTGCAAAGTTAAATTTGTTTTCTTATTTGGTTATAACAAGTGTATTCTTTGAATCACACAAAATACTTTACAAATCATAATATTTGAGTGCTTTACTTAAATAATTGGCCAAAGCATATAAATGACGAAAACACTTGGGAATCACCTTAATGTCATAAAAAAGAGAGAAAATTTTGCATCAAGTACCTAACGCACGAAAACCCTTGGGAATCACCTTAATGTCATAAAAAAGAGAGAAAATTTTGCATCAAGTACCTACCGCTGGAAGATTGAGTGTGATAATGAGACGTTGCAAAGTTAAATTTGTTTTCTTATTTGGTTATAACAAGTGTATTCTTTGAATCACACAAAATACTTTACAAATCATAATATTTGAGTGCTTTACTTAAATAATTGGCCAAAGCATATACCTCAAGCTTGCAGGTCCTTAGTCACATATCACGTGCTAACACCTTTACCACTTGCCTGATAATGCTTACTAAACCAATAATATTAGTGTGAAATAAACCTTTGATCGATGCATTAGTCCCTTAGGTCCTTCGTATTGCACTAACTAGTGTGAACACTGTGCAAAGCACGACATATCTTTTTTTCCCGCTACATTAATCCCGATTTAAAATGCTACAATGGCTTTTTAATTTTTTTTGATATTCTACAGTATCCCGCTCTGCTATAGTGATTTTTAAAAATGCTACCTTGTTTTCCGTAGGCTGCAGTATTTTTTCAAAAAAAATTACAATTTCCTGATTGCTACAGTAAGAATGCTACAATAATTGTTTTGCAGTATTTACTGTAGGTTCTCCTGTTTATATAGAGGAATAGATTCAATGATAAACAGTGTTTGATGCTTTATCTATGTGGTGAGCAAAAATCATTGGATAGTTTCCCCAATTCATAGTTACAAAAGCACGGAGATAATTACCAGTTCACTGATTTGGCTTTTCACAAAGATTGACGTGAAGTATGGATTTCCTGCGAGTGGGACTATTCTATCTCGCTTGCAAGATGCGTGATGAGATTCTTTTCTAAGCTTCGATGCTCTTCTACGCCCTTCATTTGTATCTGCATGATCAACGCATCATACGAAATTCAAAAATATGAAAATAAAAAAGGACATTATGGAATAATCTTTAGGCAATTACAGTGAAATGCGTGTACCATCAGCAAGATTGTGCGCTTCTCGGGTGAAGAAGTCGTGACCTTGCCGAGAAATTTGGCAGAACTTATGGGTGCTAGAACTGCGCCTTGAAGGGGTTTTCCGTAAATTTTGCTCCCAGAGGCATATAGGACGTATGTCATAATTGTGAATACTAGTATTCCAAGATTTTTGCCAATAATGAAAAAAAAGTAATAAATAGAATTTGAATCTTTAAATTGTAGTAATAGGAAGGGCTCATCTGACATTGTTTCTTAGCCAAGGTCCTTATTGGAGATGATAAGGCAGAAACTGAAGCTGAGAAAGAAAGAAAGGGAAGAGAGATGAAGTTTGTTTAAACTTTTTAGTCATATAGTCATATAATTTAGCATGCCAGTTTTCTCTTTTAATGGATATAATATTTTAGGGGGAAAAACAATCTCAGAATTTTCCATCATGACCTTCTATTCTAAGACTGAGAAGCATAAGAAAGAATCAATCATATATGAAAATACATGGAAAACTGAGAAACTCTGAAGTTACTAACCATTGAGTGTTGACTTTGTTGGCTTAAATTTGTCCAAACATCACAGGAGGTCGCTGTCAAGTCATCCCAATGCGGCTGCTGAAGAAATTATGGAAGGGAGGTCTATCTTTATGTCACTTTCGTTGTCCCCCCACTCAATCAACCAATTCACTTTCTTTCCTTGTTTTTCCTCTGCCAGCCAACTACCCCCACTACTTTTCTTTGTCTCAGCGTGAGTTAAAGAGAGTGATGAAGAGTCACAAAAAGTTATGAAGGGAAAAAGTGAAGTGAGGGTCAGGCAGAGAGACAGAGAGTGAAAAAGCCACACAACGAAAGTGAGCTCTAAAAAAAAAATTTTGTATGAGTGTTGTAATTTGAGAAAGAAATATAGTGAAACACCCTCTTGCCGTGGACGTAGATCAATTTGATCGAACCACGTAAATATTGTGTTTGTGATTGTCTCTCTATTCTCTAGTTTAGTGGGTGATTTTCCCAACAAATTGGTATCAGAGCTTCTCGGTTCTAGGACAGCGTTCAATCCTCTACAATGGCTTTTGTGAAGTTCTCGGTGTCGATCTTCGATGGCCAGAACAATTTTGGCCTATGGAGGATAAAGATGAAGGCTTTGTTACGACGTGAAGGCACAGTTAAAGCTATCGACGGGAAATACCCAGAAGATATGACTAGTGCTGAGATCGAAGAGATGGACGAAAAGGCTCACAGCGCCTTGCAATTGTCACTATCCGACAATGTGCTTCGTGAAGTTGCCGATGAGGAAACGGCAGCGGGGTTGTGGTCAAAGCTCGAAAGTCTCTATTTGAAGAAATCTCTTACTACGAGATTATACTTGAAGCAGCGGCTATAGACACTGAAGATGAAAGAAGGTACACCCATTCAAGAACACCTTGATGAATTTAATAAAATTGTCATGGATATGAAAAACCTGGATCTAAAGCTTGATGATGAAGACCATGCTCTCATTGTGTTATGTTCCTTGCCTGACTCTTATGAAAACTTTGTTAACTCTATGTTGTATGGAAGAGAATCCATAAGTCTTGAGGATGTGAATGCCTCTTTGAATTCTGCTGAGTTAAGAACAAAGTTGAATGGGAGAGGTACCGATAGGCAGGCTAACGGTCTGCTAGCCAGAGGTAGAATGAAGACCAGAGAGGGTGATAAAGGACAATCTAGAAATCGTTCGAAGTCCAGATCAGCCCAAAACAAGAAACATGTGGAGTGTTTCTACTGTCACAAGAAAGGGCATTACAAGTCAGAATGTTATGCTCTAAAGAAGAAAGACAACCAGTGCGGTGAAACCTCAGATTCAGCTAATACGGCAAAGGCTGATACTGTCATTGTTGCTGAGACGGTTCTTACAGTATGTCCCTTGGATGGCCGTTCCGATAGAGAATGGATCTTGGATACATGTGCGTCTTTTCATATGTGTCCAAATAAAGATTGGTTCACTACTTACAGATCTATAAGTGGTGGATCAGTTTTGATGGGCAACAGTGCAGTTTGCAAGACAGTTGGCATTGGTACAGTTCGCATTCGGTGTCATGATGGGATAGTGAGAACTTTATCAGATGTAAGGCACATCCCGGACTTAAAGAAAAATCTGATTTCTTTGAGTTCTTTGGATTCTATTGGGTGTTCTTACACTGGCGAAGGTGGAGTTCTTAGAGTTACTAAGGGTTCATTGGTTGTGATGAAAGGTAGTAAGGTGAACAGTCTTTATGTTCTCCAAGGCAGTACGGTGATAGGTTCTGCAGGTGTGTCTTCTGATGTTGATAGGGACACTACTCAGTTATGGCACATGCGCTTAGGCCACATGAGTGAGAAGGGGATGACTATTTTGAGTAAACGTGGCTTATTCTGTGGTGATCATACATCATCACTGGATTTCTGTGAGCATTGTGTGTTTGGGAAGAAAACTCGGGTCAGCTTCTCGACTGGCTCACATACGACGAAGGGCACTCTCGACTACATCCATTCAGATTTGTGGGGACCTATTCAGGTTCCATCCAAAGGTGGTGCTCTTTATTTTCTGACGTTTATTGATGATTTTTCCAAGAAAGTTTGGGTTTACTTTCTCAAGCGCAAAAGCGAGGTGTTCGAAACTTTCAAGAAGTGGAAAGTACTTGTTGAGAATCAAACTGGAAAGAAGATTAAACGTCTCCGAACAGATAATGGCCTAGAGTTCTGCAGTGGTGAGTTCAATCAGTTCTGCTCAAATTCTGGGATCGTACGACATCGCACGGTCAGGCACACTCCTCAGAAAAACGGGGTAGCAGAACGCATGAATAGAACATTGATGGAGAGAGCTAGGTGTATGCTCTCAAACTCTGGCTTGGATAAAGGCTTCTGGGCTGAATCTGTTAACATAGCTTGTTACTTGGTGAATCGGTCTCCTTCTACAGCCATTGAACACAAGACTCTAAATGAGGTATGGTCAGGTAAACCAAATGACTATTCAAATTTAAAGGTATTTGGATGTCCTGCTTACTATCATGTTAGAGAGGGTAAGCTTGAGCCTAGAGCTAAGAAATGCATATTTATTGGTTATGCTGATGGCGTTAAAGGCTATCGTTTGTGGAGTCTTGAACCTGATTCTCCTAAATTCATTATTAGTAGAGATGTTACTTTTAATGAAAGATATATGCTTGATCATGGGAAGGTTTCTGTTGAGTCTACAGGAAATGTAGAGAAGACCATGGATAAGGTGGAGCTTCAGGTGGAGCTCGAGAGAGAGACGTCTCAAAAGTCGTCTATAAAATTTGCTCCTACAGCTGTAGAAGAGCAAAATGATTCAGGCTCAGATGCTGATGATGCTGAGACTGAAGAACCTTATTCCATAGCCACTGGAAGAGAGAGGAGATAGATCAAACCTCCTCAAAGATATGCACATGCTGAATTAGTGGCGTATGCTCTCACGACAGCTGAAGAGATGTGTATTCAAGAGCCATCAAACTTTACTGAAGCTGTCTCATGCGGAGAATCTGGATGTTGGGCCACAGCTATGACAGAAGAACTCGAGTCACTCTACAAGAATCAGACTTGGGATTTGGTGCAATTACCTAAGGGTAAAAGGGCAATTGGATGCAAGTGGATTTTCAAGAAGAAAGAAGGGATCCCAGGGGTTGAAGATGCTAGATTCAAAGAACGGTTGGTGGCTAAGGGTTATAGACAAAAGGAGGGAATTGACTATGATGAAGTGTTCTCTCCGGTTGTGAAGCATACCTCCATCCGTGTATTGCTTGCCATGGTTGTTCTATTTGATCTGGAGCTTGAGCAGCTTGATGTGAAGACTGCATTTTTACATGGCGAACTTGATGAGACTATCTACATGTCTCAGCCAGAGGGATACTTCGTAGAAGGTAAAGAAGATCAAGTTTGCAGATTGAAGAAATCTTTGTACGGCCTGAAGCAATCTCCCAGACAGTGGTACAAGAGGTTTGATAATTTTATGCTTAGTCATGGGTACTCAAGAAGTACTTATGATAGTTGTGTGTACTACATGCATCTAGGAGATGATTCTTTTATTTATCTTCTATTATATGTCGATGACATGCTTATTGCTGCTAAGAACATGTCACAGATTCTTATTTTGAAGAAACAACTCAATGATGAGTTTGAGATGAAAGATCTTGGTGCAGCAAAGAAGATCTTAGGTATGGAGATCAGGAGAGACAGGAAAGCTGGAACTTTATATCTCTCACAGAAGAGTTATATTGAAAAGGTGCTTGAACGCTTTAGGATGAAAAAGGCCAAGCCCGTTATGACTCCTTTGGCTCCTCACTTTAGGCTCTCGGCTTCAGATTCACCTACAAGTGAAAACGAGAAGAATGAGATGTCCCGAGTTCCATACTCCAATGCAGTGGGTAGCATAATGTATGCTATGATTTGCACTCGTCCAGACATTGCCCAGGCAGTCAGTGTAGTGAGCAGATACATGGCTCAACCAGGAAAGGCACATTGGGAAGCAGTAAAATGGATCCTAGGATATCTCAGGGGTACCTCAGATTTAGGTTTAGTTTTTGATAGCAGTACTTTGGGAACCTCAGTTGTAGGTTTTGTGGATTCTGACTATGCAGGTGATCTCGATAAAAGGAGATCTTTGACTGGTTATCTTTTTACTCTTTCTGGCTCAGCTATTAGTTGGAGATCAACTCTACAGTCGACAGTTGCTTTGTCTACTACAGAGACAGAATACATGGCAGCAGCAGAAGCAGTAAAAGAGGCCATTTGGTTGAGAAATCTCGTGAGGGAGCTTGGACTTCAGCAGGAGGCTAGTTCAGTTGTATTTTGTGACAATCAGAGCACAATACATCTAAGCAAAAACTCAGCACATCATGAGAGGACAAAACATATTGATGTCAGATATCATTTCATTCGTGAGGCAACTGCTGAAAGAAACATCACGATGAAGAAGATTGGTACTGCAGACAACTCAGCTGACATGTTGACCAAACCAATCCCGGCCTTCAAGTTCAAGCACTGCTTGAATTTGGGAGGCATTCGCACTTGTTAGGTGGCCCCATTTGGGGCATTGTTTGCAAGATGGGTGAAGACTCACTAGTTATTGATGTTTGGGAATTCAATCCAAGGTAGAGATTGTTGACTTTGTTGGCTTAAATTTGTCCAAACATCACAGGAGGTCGCTGTCAAGTCATCCCAATGCGGCTGCTGAAGAAATTATGGAAGGGAGGTCTATCTTTATGTCACTTTCGTTGTCCCCCCCACTCAATCAACCAATTCACTTTCTTTCCTTGTTTTTCCTCTGCCAGCCAACTACCCCCACTACTTTTCTTTGTCTCAGCGTGAGTTAAAGAGAGTGATGAAGAGTCACAAAAAGTTATGAAGGGAAAAAGTGAAGTGAGGGTCAGGCAGAGAGACAGAGAGTGAAAAAGCCACACAACGAAAGTGAGCTCTAAAAAAATAAAAAA